CTAAACTCGTTTTTCCTCTTTTGAATGGTAAACTTCCCTCATTCCCTGCCCCTAATGTTGTTATTACCGGTGGTCAGCTGGAGGGCAGAACCTCTGCACTGTTTTCTATAGCCGTGGGGAGGAGGAAAGCATTCTGCTCACAGCTACAGACACATCCGGGCTGGGCTTGCTGTGGACAGGGCCCTTTGCAGAAATAGCTTGTTGCATCTTAGCCACTAGAAGGAATCAGTTACAAATTTCCAAATGCCGTTTGTCATAACGCTCTTTTCAGAGCTGCGTATATATAATGTCAGGGGAAGCGCAGCCCAAGGTCAGGGAGAAGAGAGCACCAGAAACCTTGACCTGTCTGCAGCATCCTGGTGGGAGGAGCAGCCGGGGTGCCTGCACAAGGGTGTGAAAGCACTCCTACGAAGCTCTGGTGTCAACTGTGCAAAAAAAAATTCAATGTGCATTGAACTTGGATGGCCCATAAACCAGTAGCACCACCCTGCCAGGCACAGGCTCAGCCAGGCCAAAAGAGAAAGGGCTCTGTTTTGCTAAAGCATTACAGTTATGATATCCTGTTCTATGTCTCATTCAGACCCAAAAAAACAAAATAGCTATTGACTTTGGTGTAGCTTCTATTTCTCCTTCTAGTTCATTGTTTCTGAGATGAATTTTTATAAACTTCTGCACCCAAAAGATAAAAAGAGGAGCCTGGATGTAGGCACTGATAACCCTGCTCTTTGAAAAGCCTGCTTTTTACATACAGTGAATTCATGCATAGGTTTAAAAAATAAGCAAGGAATGCCCTTTGCTGTGCTACTGACCTGGGGCATCGAGTTGATGTGGAGGATCCCTTTGATTCTATGATGACTATAGAAATGGGCCTCAAAGCATTAGATTAAGCCTCAAGACAAAGAATCCTCTCGGGTAAATATGTCATTTTTCACATATAACCCAGCTTTTTTATGTTTTATTTTCATTGATTTCTGCCTTAACATGGTTCAAGTACAGTTGACAAACAATATTATATTAGTTTCTGGTGTGCAGCATAGTGATTAGACATTTCTATATATGAAGTTATCCCCACCCCTGCCCCCCCATATGTCTAGTACCCACTTGACACCATACATATGGGAGAGAGACTGGGGGGATGGGTGGAAAAGAGGAAGGGATTCATACATACAAGTTGCTAGTGGTAAAAACAGCCTCAGGCTGTAAAGTACAGCACAGGGAGATACAGTGCCCTTTATGTTTAGCATCTTTAGCCTCGCAGTGGTTCTCCGTCAGGGGCAGCGCCCCCCCGGGGGTGGAGCGTCGTTGAGAAATGTATGACCGTGCCTCGTGACCACAGTGACCCGGGGGATGGAAGCGGCTACGAGGAGGCTGATGTTCTGCACAACAAAAATTGTTTCCCCACATTCCGTCAACGCCTCAGCTGAGAAGTAGAAAATTGGGGGGGGAGTTAGAAATTCTCTGAGAGAGGTAACTTGCCTTGGAAAGACGTTCAGTTTACAAAAGTCTTCTGCTACCCCCCCCCCCCCGAAATGGGGATACTACAACCTGCACATGTGAGGTTACATACTTGCCCCAACATTACATACTTTAGCAAGCATGTCAAACTCACGTTTAAACGCGGCATGCGGCCCACCCGCTGCAAGTTTGACACACTTTACCTAAACTAGAGCATCTGAATTTTGAAAGGGGATTCCTTGGAAATGTGTCCCCATTATTATTGAAAGATACATAGTACTTGTCTCCTCTTTGTCCGGCATGCACCATCGTTTCTGAGAGACCAGGCACAGGATGGTGTTTAAAGGACACGCCTCAGTTCTGGGCTGGGTCCGGCGAGCCTTGTATTCTTATATAATCACACCAGAAAGGGCCGCGTCTGTGTGTTTCCAAGTGGGAAGGGTGAGGTAGGCTGCAGGCTTCCCCAGGAAGTACTTGCGCATGTTGTAGCAGGACCCTGGGGAGAAGCTTGAATAGGCTTGATGATCCGGACAGTCATCCCAGGAGCAGATGGGAGGAACTGGTCTCCTTGAGGACATTAATTGAGGGAAGAATGAGCCATCACTGAGACACTTTATTTTGATTCCCCTGAGTGGGTACTAAAACCCATAAATAAAAACAGGAAACTCAATTGGTTTTGATTTTTTTTTCCTTATTAAATTTGAGGAATGGTAGCCCAGCTTGTGCGTTAACTTCAATTAACATTCCATGCTTGCCGAAAGTTGATAGGTCCAGACAGGAAAATGCAGGCCAATTATTTCGTAGAGAAAAGCGGGAAGGTAATCATAAATAACCTGATTTTTTAGTATCTGGTTTGTGCTGCTTACGCTGTATAAAGTTAAAAAAAAAAAAAAAGACACTGGAACAAATGCACTTTCCTTGAAAGTGAGGGTTGGAATTTAATGGTAATAGTAAAAGGTATGCTTCTTATAGGGTACTGCATTTCAAATTTTCCCCGTTGCTTTTTTTATTTATTTATTTAAATGGAAAAAGTCCATTTAGCATAGAGATATATTGGTTCACATACACAGGGTGACATATAAAGACTTGGAATTGCAATTTTCCAGACCAAACTGGTATTTATTTTTCCACTTCCTGAAAATACACATTTTTTCGTGGGTTATGTCATACAGGAACTGGGAATTGACTTAATCTGTGGAATGTTAAAGGCATTGCAAGTTAACTGATTCGAAACTGACGTTTTACAGCCTGAGGAATGCTGATGTATTACTGACCTTCCAAAGCCTGACTCGGATGTTCCCTCCTGGTACCTCCTGCAGAACTTAATTATTTCGCCCTCAGTGATTTCAGAGTGACATCTTATTAATGTCTTTCTCGATACTGCTTTCTGTCTTGTCTGTAATTATTTTTTTTGGGCGGGGGGGGGTTAGTTATTGGGCTGTGAGCTCCTTGAAGGAGTTAGCCTTTTGGGTAGTTATTAATTGAGGACAGTCACTAAGCCTGGACTGTAGTTGTTGCTGTGAGTGTGTAATAACATACATCCACATGATTTAACTTGCCTCCACCTGGTAAAGGAGGGTAAGGGCCTGTAGACACCTCACTGTCCTAGGCTGCCTCTAGCATGGCACTCAGGGGTGGGTAGGGCGTCTTGGGTTGTGACTGCTCATATACAATCAGGCGTGCACCATGTACACCCCTACAGAGTGCTGTTTATACCTATTGCTTGAAAGGTTGTGGAATGAAGATGTGGGTAGCTACAATGTATACCTTAGACGTGACAAGAGGGCCCCCTGGCCTGGGCCTCATGCTTCAGAGGAGGCTGCACTGGCCCTGCTTCAGCCATGCCTCCCCTCATGGGGCATGAAACCCAGGATACCAAAGAGATAAGCCACCTGGAGCCCAAGACACACCCTGCCATGCTCAGGGCATGGGAAACCCCTGGCTAAATGGGAACTGCATGAGCAGTCCTCATGCTCTTCCTCCCAACAGCAGACTGTCCCCCTGTGTGCTCACCTCAGCAGTTCGCAGGCATAGGGGCAGAGTGTCTGAGCACCAGAGGCCCCTTGTGAGACGAGGAGCTGGGGATGTGGAGAGAAGTGGGGACCTTTTCACTTAGCAGGGGTTACTTTCTTCAGAAAAGCTTCTCAGAAACCATGAAAATCAATTGTTTTGGCCTGATTGAAATGGTTCCTTTGTGGAAAACCAAGGAGAACAGGTTACAGGGGAGGCCTTTCCATTGCACATGAGTGATACGTAAACGTCACAAGCGGTGCGGTTATATAATCTTGGTGGCAGAAATGTTTCAGGAATATATGCTTGTCCAATAGAATGTCTATGAGACGAGCTAAAATTCTAGGTAGAGTCATTCTAATGTCACCATTTCTAAGTGCTTCCTATGTCAAATGTGGTGTATGGTGCCACTTACTTATATCTGTATAGACAAAAGGGAAATAGAGACCAACGACTCAGCCAGAGTTTTAGTCATACCTGACAGGGAGAGTCTCAGAGCAGAGCCTGGACATCACCAGCCACCCCATGATGACTCTGCTAGTGATGCAAGGTCTTTATTACTTTTTCCCCAAACTGAATCCTAACAGGCAGGGCCATACTGTTGCCACTAGATTTGGTGTTTTGGGAACTCCTTATGAGCCACCTCACTGTGCAAGTAGGGAAGCTGAGACTCCAACAGGCATTTTGTGACCAGGTTAAGTCTGAATTCACCAGATTGTAAATGGTGAATGGAGAACCCGCCACCCCCACTTCTTCCCTCTTCTCCGTAGGCTCCAATACTTTGCAGCATATCCAGCTACGTTCTTTGGAACTCTCGGGTTCTACAAAGGGTGTCCAGCAGTTCCACAAATGTCCCAACCGTCCATTTTTAAAAATAAATTGTAAGTTTCGCTGAAATTATAATTTTTAAAAAAACAACTAGTTCATGCCACATTTTGACACAGCGGTGAGCCATGGAGGCATGAATTTGTGCCTCTTGTTGACTGATGGTTTATGTAGACTTCAGAATGAAACTTCTTCTGCCATCTTTGCACACAGCTGAATGGCTAATCAATGTATCATTGCTTAGGAGAAATCAAGCATTCCATATTTTTTCCATTAATTTTTTAAAATATATTTTATTGATTTTTTTTTTTTTACAGAGAGGAAGGGAAAGGGATAGAGAGATAGAAACATCGATGCAAGAGAAACATCGATCAGCTGCCTCCTGCACACCTCCTACTGGGGATGTGCCCACAACCCAGGTACATGCCTTTGACCAGAATCAAACCTGGGACCTTTCAGTCCGCAGGGCGACGCTCTATCCACTGAGCCAAACTGGTTAAGGCTAATTTTTTTTATTTTATTTAAAATGGGAGCGGGGCGGGGGAGAGAGAGACACATTGATTGGTTGCCTTCCGTATGCACCCCAACTGGGGCTGGGGATTGAGCCTACAACCCTTCGGATGCTCCAACCACTGAGCACACCTGCCAGGGCTCAGAAAC